CACGTGTCAAGCGAAGACCTTCCCCGACAGACTAATCGTGAAAGGAACATCTAGGTTGTCCTCCGATGCAATATGGAAAACCTCGACGTCTCCTCTCCCTACGATTTCTTATATTAGGTGGTATTTGTGATCTATGTGTTTACTCTCCTTGTGAGCTCATGGTTCCCTTGAGTTTTTTATTGCACCACTGTTATCATAATAAACTGTGACAACCTGTGGCAAACTAGGAATCACCTCTAAGTCCACCAAGAAGTTTCTAAGCCAAACTGCCTTATTCGTCGCTTCCAAAGTTGCGACGTATTCGACTTCCACGGTGGAGTCTGCCATACATTTCTGCTTGGCACTCTTCAATGAAATGACTCCACCTCCCAGAAGAAACACATAACCTGAGGTAGATTTACTTTCGACTCGGTCTGGCTAGAAGTCAGAATTGTGGTAACCCAGCGGTAATAAGCTGCCTGCATGGTAAACTAACATGTACTCCTTAGTCCTTTTCTGGTACTTGAGTATATGCTTCAGCGCAGACCAATGTCCCAAACTCTATTTACTTTGATATCTAGCTACTATGTCAACAATGTAACTAATATCCGGCCTCGTGCACAACATTTCATACATGAGGCTTCCTACTGTCAAAGCATAAGAACTATCTTCACGTCCTTTATCTGTTGGGGTGTCTGGGAGACATCCTCTTGGACAAATGTATTCCATGTCGAAAAGGTAAGAACCCCCTCTTGGAGTCATGCATGCCGAACTTCGCCAAAATAGTGCCTTTGTATGAGGATTGGGATAAGCACAACATTCTCTTCTTACGGTCTCGAATGGACCTAATACCAAGAATGTGTCATACCTCACCCAAATTCATCATATCAAACTGCTTGGAAAACCATACCTTTATGTCTTACAATTCTTTCTTATCGTTTCTGTTTAGAAGTATATTGTCTATGTACAACACAAGAAACACCATCATGCTTACATTGCGTTTTATACAAACAGTGCTCATCCGGACATTGAGTGAACTCGTACGACTAGATCACCTCATCGGATCGGATGTTCCAAGATTTAGAAGTCTGTTCAGTCCATAAATGGACCTATTCAGCTTACACACTAGATGCTCATGTCCCTCTACGATGAAACCCTCTGGTTACTGCATTTAGATGTCCTCCTGAAGACTTCCGTTAAGGGAAGCCGTCTTGACATCCGTCTGGAAAATCTCATAATCCATATGAGCGACAACAACCAAGAGAATCTGAATGGACTTGAGCATAGCTACTGGCGAAAAGGTTTCCTCGTAATCGATTCCCGCTTTCTGAGTATACACTTTTGCAACAAACTCCTTAAAAGTTTCTACCCTTCCATCTGATCCTCTCTTTCTGTTGTAGACCCACTTGCATCCAATAGGTCGTACCTCACTGGGTGGTTCTACAAGATCCCAGACCTAATTGGAGTCCGTTGACTCCATTTCAGCTTTCATCACACTTTGCCATGAATCTGCATCCTTGTATTGGAGTGCTTCATCAAACGTCCAATGGTCCGATTCTGGTTCAAGCAAGACTAAGTATGAAAACTCTCCGAGGAACATAACTTTGTCGGGATGTCGGATACCTCTCTCACTATGGCGAGACACTGTCTGCACAGATGCATGCTTAGTGTTGCGTGGTATAGTATTATATGGTGTATCTACTTGCACACCCATATGGGACTAGCGACTTGACCACTTAATTCTTCTAAGACAAGTCTACTCGTAAGCTTGTGGTTCATAATATAGTTTTTTTCTATGAATCTAGCGTTCGTGCTAACAATCACATTCTGATCCCCAGGACTATAAAATAAACCTCCTCTCGCCTCGTTGGAATAGTCTACGAACAGCCGTACCTAGTATGCAATGTTTAGTTCTGCGTTGTTTCAGTTAGGTCGCACTATGAGTGATCACAAATCTACCTTGTTTCTTTGGCGCTTCTCATCTTGGATATTATTTTGTTGTTTTATGTTGATGACATGATCATCACAGAACATGATGTCTTCGGTATTTTTGATTTACATGATTATCTTCATAAGCATTTTAAGATGAGGAGTTTGGACTAGCTTCACTATTTTTGGGTCTTGAGATCTCTAATTTCTCTGGTGGATTATATTTTTCTCAAGCCAACTATGCCTCTAATATCTTGCTCAGGCCGGTCAAACAACTTCCACACTTCTTGATTATGGTGTTCGTCTTACTCCACTTAATGACTCTGTTCTTAAGGACCATACATTATATCGTAAGCTCAGTTGGAGTTTGATCTATTTGACTGTCACGCAGCCTGATCTAGTTCATTCTGGTCATATTGTGAGTCCTTTTATGGCTGCTCTGATAACCATTCATCATTCACTTGTGTTGCACATCCTTCTTTATGTGAATGGAACTTTATTGCAAGGTTTACACTACTCGGCCTGTTCTTCTTTAATACTTAGCGGATATTTTGATGCATATTGGGCCGGTGATCCTACTGACCGTCGCTCCACTACTGGGTACTACTTCTTTTATGGTGATTCACTCGTCTTCTGATGCAGTAAGAAGCAAACCTTGGTTTCCAGATCGGTATGGAATTTGAGTATCGTGCTTTGCTGATTCCACCTCAAATTTATTGTGGTTGCGTCGTCTATTTGCTGATCTCAGTGCACCAGTCATCGTCTACTGCTCTACATTGTGATAGTCAGAGTGCTATAAATATGTCAAATAATGACACATTTCATGAGCGCACACAACATATTGAGGTTGACTATCACTTCATTTGATAACATGTTGCGCATGAGATTGTACAACTTATTTGGGTTTCTTCTGCGGATCAAACAACGAGTGTCTTCTGTAGTATCTTCTTCCGGCCATTTTTTGTTGCTTCTTAGCAAACTCAAGTTTACCTCCACTATACCACCATGATTTAAGGGGAAGTGTTAGTTATATAATTATTATATTATGTTATTGTATTGTGTGTAAATATATTGGTTTGACATTGTGTGACAAATCGAAATGTTTTTTAGAACATTTTTTTGTTAGACAAGTAAAATAAATTAAGAAAAAATTTCTATATTCTATATATTTACTTATAAATTAATTGGGTTCCAAGTATTTATTACTAACAATATATGGTATATGTTTATTACAGTATTCACTATGAAGTCCTAACTCTTTAGGAGAAGGATTACATGATATATATCTTACATATGTTTAATTATCATATATGTCATTTACATTAATTAGTTGAATTCCATACCATAATTAGTTTCTCTCTTTTGTGGGACAATGAATGTGTGGCAAGAACTATAAAAGGATGATCTACCCACACATAAAAGATATTGGACGTTTTGGATAAAATCTAAGGAGGATTTAGAAAGATTCACTATAATATGTCTTATATTTAGAATGTTGGCTATTTTAAGAAAGTTGTTTTCTTTGAAGATTTTATTAACGCAATTTTGAAGATATCTAAATAACATACATGGATTGTATTTGAAGGAAACTTATTCTAAAGGAATAATATTTTCAACGCCAATCCAATGTGTCATTACCTAGTTAGGGTTTGTTTTTTGTTTATATGCATTAGATCACGAAATTCAAAGAGAACAGTTGAGTTTTATTGTTCTCTTCTGAACATATTAAGTTAATCTATTATATAAGTGGCCAGCTTAGATTGTTGTTTATATTTTATAGCATGTGAATTCAAAATTTCAGTTTTGTGTTTCAACATCTCTGAAAGACTGAAACATATCACCTTTGTACTTTTGTTATTGTCAGCTTAGAGGTATTCCTGTAATAGTTGTTAGTCCACGTTGTGGCCAGGGAAGCAGTTAGTAGAATCTGGTATAGTTGTGGTAGGTTTAGTCGAGAATCCTTACTTCTAAATTCTAAACTATATACTGCAGGAGACAACCAATTTGCTAATGAAAGAGCTATAAAGGATAGTGAAACACTCCACGAATACAAATTTACTAATCGACGCTTCTACTTATATTGTGTGTTCTTACACCCTTGCGCACTCTACTCCCTCAACCCATTTTTTTTCATTGTGCATTGTAACCTATGTTACGGCCCAACATAAGGTTAATACAACATAACATAATCATTACACATAGTGGGTATCTTGCAATATATTGTCCAACAATGGCAACAAAATGGAATTTTGATAGCTACAGTAGTTTAAATTTTGATATAAAAAAAATTTGTATTTAAATTTTAAAATTAAGAGTACAATACTCGTGTATTACATGAGCGCTTATTAAAAAATATATAAATAAATTTAAAAAAGTAATAAAATGTATGTCTTAAATTTTAAATGTTATTTTTTTGTTTGAGAAAATATATTATTATTATTATTTATATTTAAAATGAAACTATCACACATACAACTTATTAATCTTATTTAATTGATAAATAATTTTGTTATTTTTCAACTAAAATTAATAGATGATTTAATATTTATTTTTGTAGATATAATTATTTGTTTACTTTATCATACAATATAGATGTCAAATCTAAGCTAATGAAGAGATGATTGATTTGATATAGCATAAATGAAAAATTGATAACAAATATAAAAGTTAACCTTAAAAAATATGGTATTTAAACATAAACCTGGTATGTAATTATGGTATATAAACATAAGCAATTATTATAAATATGATTGTAGATACCAAATATAATTATAGTATGTCCAAGCCTATTTCTTTGTGAATGTAATTAAATTATTTTTTATCTTAGCCAAAACCCAAAGCATGAAACGTTGACAAGTAAGATTTTGAAGCGTGCGAGGCAGCCATGTAGACTCAGCACGTTTTGAAATTATATAAAGGGACTGCAACTGTTAAACAAGAGAGTACTTTCTTCTATCTCTGAAAGATAAATGTAAATAAAACTCGAGGGTACTTTCTCTCTCTCTCAAAACTAGCTGGTCAGAATTTTCAAATTCAATGAGAAAGTAGGATTGATTAGATTGAATGGTTTTTAAGCGGGAGGGGCCATGATCTCAGAAAAGCACGCGAATTTCTTCGTAAACTCGGGCCATGCAACTTCTCGAGTCGTGCACGAGCCTATTGTGCTAGCCAAGTAAGCCGACTACAAGAAATTTGATAAAGATCGATGATCAAGAAAAAAAGGCACCACACATCATCACATTTTGTATACATAGTTTTCTTTTGAGTTGACAAAGAGTTGATAATGCTGTAAAGTGTGCTATCTATCAGTCTTTGAGTGTGTCACTCAATACTGTTATCTCGTCAGTGAATTCTTGTGCTCTCTGTGTTGGGTTACGGCTTTTGTAATGAAATGAACAAGAATTCCAACCGGGCAAAAAAGGAGGCAAAGGGAAACCGAATGACGGGTCTCTATGTTGTCCTTTAATCCATCATGATATACCTGCCTGTTTTGAACATGAAACTTCAAGATTTCAAAACAGATGAATAAAAATGTCTTTGTGTGTGTATGTGTGTGTGTGCAGAGAGAAATAGGGAGAGAGAAAGAGAGACCTTGCTGCGAAAAGATCAACAGCCAATAAATGAATCCAAGCTGAAGCTAATGTCATCTCGTTAGAGAACATCTTAGCTATACCTGGCAGCTGCACAATTTTATAAACATTGTTTTCATTTTGTGAGGCTAGTTTCTCATTTACTAATGTAAGGCGAATGAATCTTGAATTTGGTAGCTATAAATGCAGACCTCTGGCAGCCAGTATTTGCTTGCAAACATTAGGCGAATTGTATCAGGTGTCCATGATAGATATAATAGATAACCGTATAGTACTCCAAGAACTGCAAATGGTGTACTGCTTGCCACAACTTTCTTCGTCTGCATAATTATATCGACATGAAAAAAGTCATCAACACCCTTCATTGTCTTTTAAAGAAACAAATATATATATATAATTTGAAAGAGACTATAGAAATTGGAAGTTACTTACAAACTCAGCTTTAGGTGCTAAAACCATGAAGGTATAAATGGGAAGAACAGCTGCCGTGCCCAATGTAAAAGCACCACTAGCAATCTCGGAATTCGACATCCCTGAATACAAGTGCAAAATTAGAAACTCATTTCGTTTAATGTATGAATTATCTCTAAACTTAATCAGAATATCATGAATTCAAACTTTAAAAATAGGAAGTTCAATCCAAGTATTACATGAAGCATATACTGCCGAGCTTTTTCTGCTGTGAGTACTTTTCACGAGACTCGTTCTAAGGAAAGTTCCGGATCCTCCGAGGAATGTCTGCCCAAATAGTTGAGTGTTTTTGCTTCTAAGGGAAGTCTTAATTCCTAGGCTTGGGACATTCTTACATGAAGTGTCTAGTATCTGAAGAAAGCAACAACAAATTTTCAAGTATTTTTCTTCTGTCAGAGTGAAGGTTCAAAAGTTTAACACGCAAACATACAACAATCATTGCTTTAATCAAAATATCATTTGGTAAAAATCATTTGACAATTATTGTATCCTTGAGAATTGGATAACTACATCGTTGGACTGGATTTCGTCTATTCATTTTATTTTATACATAAAAAAAGGGCAATCATCTGTTAAGACTACAAATAGAAGGAATTGGTACTAAAAGAACAAGGCTTGCAAGAGTATGAACAGAAAAAATTGAACTGGCTAAATGATATGATCTAAACAGGGCATATGCATTCAAAATCCAATACACCAGAAGAAACATTGATAAATGCCCCAATAATGAAAAAATCTTAAGATAAAAAACAGCACAACTTGATCACGGCTATTTAANGAGCTGAAGAAGCAAGAAGACAAGGCCATCTCTGAAATTCAAGAAACAAATTAAAATCTTTAAAACGTAAAACCCCTCAAAAAACAGGGTTAAAAAGACAAATAATACTTTCTTGGCATAAGAGGAAAAGGTTAGGATAACACGTATTTTATTTAATAGAACAAAGGAAAAAGAAAATGTCTGGATCTCCCATAGGAAGATACGCAGATTCCATAGGTGGAATATATTAGAGAAAAATGAAAAGAAGGCCATCTTTCATGGTTTTAGTTACTGCTGCACATGCGCACTACGATTTGATAGGAGTTTAAAAATGCCCCCAAAATAATGATATTACAGAAGTTGGGGCCAAAAAAAACGACAACGTTATTGGGTGGGAAAGCCGAAAGGAAATCGTGTCTCCACTAGTGTGTGTTTGACTGATTAGTTATGTTTCCTCCAATGTTTGCCAGACACGTGGAGGGTGCACGTGGCTCACATGCAACGATTCGCTGCTTTTGGAATATTTGTGTATATATCTTAAAACTTATCTATATATATATATAATAATCATTTACTTAAAAATGATAGTAAAAAATTTAAGAAGTATTTAATAGAACTTTTTTAATATACACATTAATTGCTTCTATATACACATTTTCAAATAAGATTAAATCAGCTATGATAAAAAAATATTATTTTTTTAAATAATTTTATTAATATCATCAATAATTTCATTGATATCCATTATAATAAATTACAAGATTGATTTTCATGATTCATGTTGATAATATTTTGGTCAAGATAAATATTACAACATAATTTAAGTTCTAACCATAATATTAATTTAAGGTGTAATAAATCTCGTCTTACGCTCAATCGGGCACTGATAAAACCATACCTGAACACCAAGCGGGTGCCACTAATCCTATGGCCCCCTAGCCCACTGTCTGAAGGTAAATTCGATCGATCAGATGCAATCCAATACGTACTGCTATCAAGCAATCGAAGATAGAGTAGTCGCCTCATAATACCTATTTACTAAAAATAGTAGTCGCCCCATAATGCATACCTGTTTTTTGGAAATTTTTTGAATATATGCATTAATTGCTTCCATATACACATTTTCAAATAAGATCAAATCAACCATAAAAAAAAATATTGTTTTCTTACATATTGTTATTAATATCTGCAATAATTTCATTGATATCATTTACAAGATTGGTTTTTTCATGATTCATGTTGATAATATTTTGGTTAAGATAAATATTACAACATAATTTAAGTTCTAACCATAAAAAATATTTATAGAAAATCGTAACATGTTAGGTAGAAGTTTTTCTTCCAATTAATCAGACGAAATCAAGTTGGTGAATTAATCTTTGCCAATATAATTTTATCTTCGGTTCTATTTCGTTATATATAAAAAAATAAATCATTCTTCAAATTAATATAATTTACCATTTAAGAGAAAATGACCAGATACATTAAATAGTTTTACTTATGGTCAAAAAATAAAAATTACAATATATTAACTGTTCTTTAGAATTTATTTGTATACTATTGACAACCATGATTTTTTTTTTTTTATCATTTTTTTATTTTGATTTCTTTCTACAATGAAATTCTTGTAAAATATATTTTCATTGCAGAGTATGCTAAATAAACTATAAATCGTTATAATGAAATTAGAAAAATCCTGATTATAGAATGGATTGAGTTCTCGGCATTTGCTAAATCAGAGTTGTTTAATTAATATACAAAATTAAATTCTAAAAAACATGTGTGCATATTTTGTAAAATATTTATGCATTATTTAATTTTAAATTTATTTACATATTTTAAATTGATGACATAAATAAATAATACTAACCTGCATTAAAAATTTTTCATATATAAAATAAAAAGAAAAGAAGACGTACAACTTCTATATCTTTTGTAAATAATAATGACATAATATGACAACAAATTTTATAAAAAAAATAATAATTAAGTATTATACGGTGAATAAGAATAAGTAAAACTATTATTTTCTCTTATATCAATGAATAAATACATATACTAAAATCAAATTTATATTAGTATAAATGTGTTATTGAGATAATATATTAATTATTTTACAAGTTAACCCTAACATGCTCATATTTAATATTCTGCCTAAAAAAACAACGTTTATTCAAAGAGGTGGAAAATATATTGTAACCTTACTGTTTTTTAGACTTAATGCTAAAAGAGGTGGAAAATATATGATAACCCTATTGTTTTTTAGACTTAAACAGATATAAAAATAACTCATTTCACATCTCTATCTCGTGTATCGCACAGGGTACGTAGTAGTTTTATGTTTAAGATCCTACCAACCCGCCGTGGTTCATATCATTTTACATGCTGGACTCGTAATATGTTATCCTCTGAAATTATTTTTCTTTCATAGTTTATCAATTGATATCTTTCCTGGAAACTGTATAAAGGGTTGGATTTTTATTTGGATGATGTGATAATTGTGCAGAACATATCATGCATTAAATAGAAAAACGAAAATGTTATTATTATATAATTTGTAAACAACAGTTTTTGTTTGATTCTTTGGTATATTGTCGTCGTAAAAAATTAATATTTTCAAATCCTTACGATTCGTAATGTGTGAAATGGCTACATACAGCTGATCATGACAACAGCGATTTCTTAAAAATCATGCCAATATCCCATAAAGATTGACATTGATTCTTGTTTATCATCATGGCGTATTAAACCATGAGTGAGAACTATCTTCACTGAAATTGGAAAGGTATCCTAACATCAGAAGAAGTTATGAGGGTGTTTGTTTATAAGTTTTTCCCAACAAAATTCAATCTCAACTCAAATTTAACTCGACTCACTATCTTCAATATTATTAATATAATTAAATAATATAAATCAATTATCTATATACATTACATCAACTTTAATTCACTATTCATCCAAGCTACTCACATAATTTTAACTATCCATCACTTTCAATCACTTCTCTCCTACTTTTACATCAAATCATTTCTACTCACTTTATTTTAAATATTATTTTAATACAAACTCAAAATTCTACTCAAATTTAACTTACTCAACTTTTTCAAAACTAACTATGGTTAACTAACAAAATCAATCAAAACAAAAAAAAAAATAAAAAAAATATATAAACAAGCATGCCCTATTCATACATACATACATACATACCCTTAGACCACCCAACATCGATATATCTCGAGGTCGGTTACTTTGTCGGGCTTCTAGAGGTCGGTACCTCCAGGTCATATTTTTTCTAGTAGCTCGGTACCTTAAGCTCATATACGAGCTACTTGACCAAACATCTTACCACATAGTTGGACGGCGGCGATGAAGCTCAAGACGCCGGACCAGATGGCAACGTAAGCGGTGGCCAACAGGAGCTGTAGGAGATAAAGGGTAACGGGTGGGTCGTGGGTGGGTTGCGTTGGGGCCCATGAGTAGAAGTTATACCATGTTCAAAATACGCTTTACTAGTGTAATCTTGTTCATTTTTGTTCCTTAATTGGATTATTTGATCTGATGGCAACGTTGTATTCGTATTTTATTCACCGAGAATCATTCTCACCGGTGCTCATCCAATTTCGACTTCCATGATCACTGTCCTACTGTCTTAATCTACCAACACCTTTTGTGGGATCTAGGTTAGCGTGCAATTGGGCATTGTAACCCGACTTCTGATTCATCTCGCATCACCTGCTTACCCAAAATGGCCTACTTGGAGCTCTCAATTCCCCAACGCAGCTCAACAAAGCAATCACGCCACCTATCTATTTAAAGTTTGAGAATAGGTCAAGAGCGTTGCGCCCCCGATGCCTCTTTTAATCCAAATTTTTTATATAAAACAAACCATGTACAATAATATTTGTATAAATGATAGCACCGTATAATATTAAAAATCGTATTATATAGAGTTCTCACAGTTGTCAGACCGAAACTTGTTTTCATTTGAACCGGTCTCTGTATATATAGCAACCAAACATGGTTAAAAATTTCAAATATAATGTATAAGAGTAGTTTTCACGGTCTCACACTAGCACCTTATTCTCCTCGACCCATATTCTTTACAATAAAAAGTATAATGCAATGGAGGCAAGAATAAACCAATCAAGTGTAGTATCATTCCACAGAAATTACCAAAAAAAAAAAAAAAAAAANNAAAAAAAAAAAAAAAAAATCCCAACTTTTCTTAATGTTACATAACCAAAACGCCAGTTGCAACTAGTTCAACAATGCTTGTCAAGCCAAGAAATAATATCCTCGAAAACCTTGAGTATAACCTCGTCTGGCTCCCCCTCGAGAAGCGCATGATAAGAACCTTCATAGAGGATAAGTTTCTTGTCTCGGCTACTCGCCTTCTCGTACAATGCCTTGCTCACTGATGGGTCCGTCACTTTGTCTTCTTTGCCGTGCAAGATCAATAGTGGCAGAGAAACCTGCAACATATTGTAATGAAATATATAAAAGTCAATGGAATGTAAGAAAGCCTTGAAATATATTATGGCCTTTCAAGAAAACCCCCAAACAATGAAATTATCAAATAAGACATCTAGGAAACTAGCATTGGTAGTTCATACTGTCATTTATTGTGCTGTACACAACATTCTGTATACGAGAATCTCTATTAGCAGTCAATCATAGATACTAATATAAATTTCACCATTAAATTACACCAAGATTTTCATTTGTGTTTCATTCACAAGATAACAGCTTAAACTTGGACAGATCTTAAAACAAGGTATTTCATATGGTCTTACACCTTTTCTAGTTTCTGCTCAATATCTTTTGTGGTCCTCAATAGCTCCACAGCTGTCCCCAAGCGTGGTTTGTGCTTGTACGCTATAACGTTATAGGATGTCTGAACAGAGAACAAAACAATTAAAATAATCTCATGATACATTTTTATCATAAAATTGAAATCGGTGCAAACAAAAGAGAGAAACTAAAAGCAAAACACAATTTGGGATGAAATTTGTACTCAGAAAGAAAAAACACAAACAAAGAATGAAGGTAACACTTAGCCTTGTTACCTGTTCTCTCTTCTTCATGTCTCTGAATGCCAACTCAGCAAAATCTTTTAGGGGAACGAGTTTTGATTTTGGAAGTACTTTCGCCAATCCAATTAGAATTTGGGTCACTAACCTCGGGGGAACCATATCATCCGCTATCTGAATAGTTATCAGCAAATAAAAATCAGATTTACCTCAGTGTACAGCAGCTATTAATAAGGCTGTAATTACTCATATCAAAGACTATTTATAGTTTTGGTGAAAAGAAAAGGAAAGAGTGTTAATAGTTTACCTTGCACATAGGTGCAACAAGAATGGCACCATTCCAAGAATCTGGTTGTTTGAGGTGGATTTTGAGAGCTGCTGCTCCTCCCATGGATTCTCCGAACAGAAAACTCGGCAACTTACTGAGGTCCGGGTTTTCTGAATTTCCAATCGCATCAGATTATTATTATTATTATTATCATAATCTACCAACCAAGAAATCTTGTAAATTTCTACAAGAATGTAATGTAACTTG